GAACTTCCTCGGTCGTATTGGGGGTGGATACTTTTCTGAAATAATTGTGAGGTACATGACATTTGCTTCTTACATATTGACGATATTGACTGAACTTTACAATGTTCTTCATTTCAATGAATATTTTTCTCATACAACCTTGTCCTATTGACAAAACAGGGATTACGCCTACCCAAGACATGCAGCCATGGCTGTTGCCCAAGTTATAATGGCATTCGGGCATTTCTTCTTTGCTATGGGCTGGCCAGGGGCTATGTACATTGGTACTCTTCTGGTCGGGCTCGGGTATGGAGCTCATTGGGCTATTGTGCCAGCTGCTGCTTCTGAATTGTTTGGCTTAAAGAATTTTGGAGCTTTGTACAATTTCCTCACTGTTGCGAACCCAGCTGGTTCATTAGTATTCTCAGGTATTATTGCTAGTAGCATATATGACAGTGAAGCTGCAAAGCAAGCTCAAGAGCGTCATCCCAGCCAATGGAATGGGGCATCTATTTTGTCAAGTTTTCTAGCTGTGGAGGAACCTCTAAAGTGTGAAGGTGCCATATGCTTCTTCTTGACTTCCTTAATACTATGTGGACTCTGCATTATTGCTGCTTGTCTAAGCATGATTCTAGTTTATCGAACAAAGGCTGTATACAATCAGCTTTATGGAAAATCTCGTACATAATCCATCACTCAAGTGAAGCTTGGATAGAAGTTTGAGTAATTTGCACATATACTCTCAACCAGCTTATGGATCCAAGCATTTCACTGAGGTGACATTGTTAGCCATTACCAGAAAACATCCTCCTGGATGAGAGCAAGCAACAATGGAGATGGCGCAACTGATTTTTTTGGTGTTAGAAGCTGTTCCTCGTACTGTGATATAAATGTTTGATTGCAATTCTTGATTGGTGTATATTTTGCTTTGTCTTTGAAACTTGAAATTGTTATATTCTGGTTGTCAACCATCATTTATTGAATGAGATCTTCCATTTTTTTAAACTTTATTTCTTTAAATTATCCTTGCACCAAGTTCTTTTAACGGGTGAAAAGCTTTACACTGCACAACGCAGTGACATTGACCGCTTACTATGTTCTGAAGAAAGTTGTGAATCGTGATAGCTGATGGTAATGGCGTCTAGCTAAATACCAGTACCATGAGATACAAGCAGATTAACTATGTTCATGCTTGTGGATGATGCAAATTATTGCACCAGGTGCAGGTCAAGATTAAAGTCAGTAACACAGATTGGATTAGGGTATCTTTATGTTAAAACTTGTTGCTTGTCTCAACTCACTAATTATACTGTTCATATGGTTCCACTCAGCTCATATAAATGTCTAGTATAAGAATTATTGCAAAACTCAAAACACGTGATTTATTTTGCAAGTTACATCAAATATATTGCCAAAAACAAATTATTTTAACTTTTCGGACTTCTAACATGGATTTACAAAGTAGTAGCAGTTGTTCCTTTCGTTGAAAGCTAGAACTTGGGCCTCATGAGTTGAACCTGGTGCAATCCAGTCTTATTTCACCTTGATTACCAGTTTTGACATCAACTCTTCCTAGTTTTCTCATTGCAGTGACAAAAGCTCCATTAAAGTCGAAAGCATTATTAGCAAAATCATTAACAGTGCGTTGAGACGCTTCATCAGTGAAGAGCACCTGATCTGAGGTGAACAAACCCTTTCCTCCAACCAGATTCTTGTAATACTCATTGTCAAATGTTCGCGGAGTCACAGGATCCATGTTTATAGCAATGGAAGGATCTACTTTTTGAGGGCACATTTGCATTAGTTGTTTAGCATATTCAGGATCCAAAGAAGGGTCAACGGGGTTGGATGAGGTAAATGAGTAGAGACGGTTTGCAAAACGGTCACAGTGAGAGAAGCCAAGTGTATGAGCACCAGAAAGAGCTATCATGTCAAACTGGCTGAGATTGTGGTTGGCAAACATAGTTGTTAGTTGATTGAGATTGAATTGAGGTTCTGGCAATTTTCCAGCAACCCGAGATGCCTTGGAGATGAGCCCATCGCGACGTCCCAATTCTACATTGTATGCAGGGCCTCCTGCCTGAATGTTTTCACCAGAAGAAATCAACAAGTCAAGTGACAGTTTACATTTTAAGGTAAATCAAAGAGAAAATGGTTTCTCTGTCCTCTATTACCAGCACTACAACATCTCTGGTGGCGATAGCTAAAATATCTGCGCATGATACTACTCCAGGGCACTGAGCCTCTACTGCTTCTTTTGCCTTTATTACAGTGTCAAAGCCATCTCCTGCAAGGGAAATATTATCTGAAGAATCTTTTTCCGCGTCTCCGTTTGGTGAAGCTATGAGAACAGAGGCGTCACATCCCTGAGAAAATATGCAAAGAATATAAATCTTGGAAATATTGATCACTTGAGACTCTAGTACTGGACATCCCAAATCTGTTAACATACTGAGATAGTTTTCTCATCATCATATCCTATTACAGAGAATCAAATTGTAGAAGAAGATTAGGCTGTTACCTCAACAAAACAATCATGGAAAAAGAGACGCAGAGTTGCTGGAATAGTGACAAAAGTCTGGCTGAACTTTGTAGACACAGCCTGTTGAACTATGAATTCCACATTTGGACAAGTAAAACCATAGAAGTTCTCTACTAGTTGCCCTTCAGCTCCACTCACAATAATTATGACTGCCACAATCAACACATACAAGCCCCTCCTTCTCTCCATTTTTCACTTTCTTGATGAAAATTTGACCCTTTCTTTCTCTTTACTTTTCCCTCTCTACCATCCAGTGGCTGGTAGAAACAGAACAAACTTGTGCATTTATACTAAAAGTAAAGTATTGAGGAAGGTAGATGAAGGCTGATTCTTGTACCACTATTTGTTATAGGCCGTTATACTTGTTCCAAGTTCAAAAGGTCTAACATTTATAGTTGTCCTAGTTCTATTCACGTGACGTAACCGGTAAAGTTGTTGCCATATGATCAGGAGATTACGGGTTCACGTGGAAACAACCTCTTGCAGAAATGTAGGGTAAGGCTGCGTACAATGGACCCTTGTGGTCCGGCCCTTCCCTGGACCTTACGTATAGCGGGAGCTTAGTGCACCGGGTAGCCCTAGTTCTATTCACTTGTACCTAGTGTTTACACCGAACCAATTAACACATGAAACCTGTCTTTTGTATGCATTTTAGTCACTGACCATGGTTATTTTTTTATATATATATATATATANGGTTTGGTATAAACGCGAGTAAATTTTTTATGAGTGTGAGGGTAGAGCTCCATTTAAAATAAGCAGCTCACCCTATTAAGTAGCTCCACGTGACTATTTCCATCATCATACTTCATACATATTTCCTTAATTAGCCTCTTTAAGTATAAGAGGTTAATTCTAGTTCTTTTCACTACACTACATTTGTGTTATGAAAAATGTAAATTATTTGCGGATGATCGAACCAGTCAGATCTGACGGCTGAGGGAAAAGGAAATTTCAACAATCGAAACAAATTCTCGTTTTTACTGGAATTTGAGCATTTTATAATTTGTAAGTTGATTATTCTTGCTAATGTCTACGTGTTTGCGTGTGAAGATTGAGTATTTAAATCTGTTTCTTATTGGCAAATTAAAATTCAACCCTGTTGTTTGGTGACATCGAACATGGAGAGTAGTTTCTTTTTTGTTGCCCAATTTGATCTACTCCCACCTATCAAGTTATTGTGACTTTAAGAAAATGACATTTTAACTAATCAGATTACAATAATCTAAACGATCCTTATTTGGGAAAAGGCTATAATCTGAAATAAACTAACAGCTTGAATGATTGTTACGTGTTGTTTCATAATGTATTGTATTGTATTGTACTTCATTGTATTGTATTGTTTGATGAATACAATGTTTGAATATATTGTATCGTTTGCCGTTGTTTATGATGTCATGCACCAACAATATGAATAATAAACTTGCAATATTATTAAGAAAAAATAGGACACGAAGTAGAAATATAATATAAAAAAGTAAAATAAAAGATAAAATATGATTATTTAATAATAAGAAAGGGCAAGATGAGGAAAAAAAAAGCAAGGTAACGACACCACCAAACCAAATCCGTCGTTACATAAAGTGGAACACAATAAAATTTAAGTAACAATTAAATCAAATATTGTAATTAAAGTAAACAATACGATATAATACAGTAGGTAACAACCATCCAAACAAGTTGTAATACGGAAGTTGTATCCAGATCTCAGTCCCTTCTTCTACTTAGATCAAATCTAAAGCATATGCAATTCAAGAATGGCATCTTCAACAGAACATCATACACGATGGAATATAGCAGAGGCAGAGCTAGAGTTTTAGATATGCGTTCGGCCCAAAATCTTGTATATATACAAATAATTTATTCAGAACCAAGTAAGCTACTATAATTTTTAGAATCGAAACCCGTAAACTTAAAATTCTGAATCTGCCTCACGTACAGAGTCGTACAATTTATCGTACCTCAAGCCGTTGATGGTATAAGTTAATTAAACTCTAGGTAAAATTTTTTGTTAATGATAATATCACGAGCCGAAATGTGACGTGCATCTGCAGCTGGTAACTTTTTTCAGGTCAAAGTTTGGACACTGTTTTTAAGCAAAGGCTTTTCTGAAATAAGAAATTGTTTTACGCCTTATGAAGTGTAGCGGGGGCCTGGAAGAGACAAACGTGGGAGCTATTAATTTATCCTCCCGTTTCAATAGCGGCTACACTAATATTAAATTAAAAGATGGGGGGAAACAGGGGAAGTTTGTATCTATTGACCAAAATATTGAGAACCCAACTCGAATGCACTTGATTCGGGGCAAATTCAAAAATAGCTAGATTTACATGCGATAATTGAAAAATAGCCATAGTTTTAAAAGTAATTGAAATTTAGCCATTTTTCATGTTAAGATAAATTTGAACGAAAACACTGTTCAAAATCTGAAAAATATTCCAGCATAGCATACTGGAATTCCAGCATAATATACCGGTCCAGCGTAATATGCTGGAAATTCATACACAAGTGCTCCAATCTCCAGTATATTATGCTAGAACTTTCCATGTGTTGGAGTTCCAGCATAATATGCATGAAGTTCATACACAAGTGCACAAATCTCCAGTATATTATGCTATTTTTCAATGACTTTGCAAATGCTGACTATTTTTCAATTACCAGTTCGAAAACTAGCTAGACCGTGTTATTTTCACCTTGATTCTATTGGTTTGTACTATGCGATTATTTTGTGAATCACGTGAATTTTGATACCATACACTTCATTTGCCATTATGGATGGCAAACGGGCGGGTCGGATCGGATATAGGACAGGTCAAAAATAGGTAATGAAAAACGGATAAATTATTCGATCTGATCCATATTTAATACAGATAAAAAATGAGTTAACCGCCGGATAATATGGGTAACCATATTATCCATAGCTTCATGAATATGATCACTTTTAGGAGAATTCTTAGTCTGCCAAACTTGAGGAACCCCCTATTTGATGTTTTACAAATGTAAAAGTTAAACTCATTAGTTATTCATTGGTTATACATTTTCTAAATGGATAATATGGTTCTTATCCATATTTGACCCGTTTTTAAAAAGTTTATTATCCAACTCATTTTTTAGGGAATAATATGGGTGGTTAACTATTTTTTCTT